GTATAATCCTCATCACTATTATGAGATATTAATTGTATTTATCAAATCTGTAATCATTATGCCAAAACATCTGAATTACTGTAACATTTTTTATATTGTTAAAACTGTAACTTTAATTGTAAAAACAAATTTAAAATAAAAATAAAACTGTAACTTTAATTGTAAAATAAATAAATAAATAAAATTTAATGTCATTGGATACATTTAAAAAAAAAAATGCTGCCACATCACTGTCTCTTATGAAAATAAAAATAAAACTGTAACTTTAATTGTAAAATAAATAAATAAATAAAATTTAATGTCATTGGATACATTTAAAAAAAAAAATGCTGCCACATCACTGTCTCTTGTGGCTGCCCTCTTCTGTGCTGAGGCCTCAAGTTTGTGCTGGCTCCACCCACTCCATCAATGCCTCCACACACACCTTCCCTCCCTCTGCCCCATGACACCGCTGTTCAACAGGTTTGTGCTGGCCTGAAAAAAATTCAACCATCAGATTTTATCTCACACACAAAAAAAAAAAAAACAACTAAGAGCTAAGAAAAGCAGCAGTACACTCATTTCAAAGAAACACAAACTAAGTAATGTCCTCAAAATGCCCTACTGGGTAAGAGGCAGGGCTTGGAGAAGAGTCAGCCCGGTTCCACTCTGCTTCTCCTTGTCAACTGACTTCAGGACAAAAAGAAACTAAAACGAACATGTCTGTTTTCTGGAGTAGCGTCTTCTTCGTTGTCTCTGGTCAGCATCTCTTTTTAAGAAATGTATATAAAAGGTCACAAATAATTGTTATTTGGTAAGGTATATTAAAGAGAACTATCACAGCAAGCCCACTTAGAAACCAATCCTGTTCACTAATGACATTCCAAATATATATCTCTCCTAAACAGTATAGGTCAGCGTATTCTTAGCACTGGTTATTTCACTTAGGAAAATGATTTGTTGTTGTGCTGGTAGTTTTAAGAAAAATGAAGATGCCCTTTTGCATATACTAGAGAAGAGCTTATCTTAGCTGTAAAACATCTAAGAGGATAAATACCCACCTGAGGTATTACATTGCTTTTCCCCTTAGACACTCACATATTTTGGAATACATTATTTTCCTATTTATTTGGTATTATGAGGTATTTAGCATTCTGGCCTTAAGTTACCTGTCATAATCAGCTGCCCCTTCAGTTGTAAATAACCCCAAATGTTCCCAATTACTCTAGAAATGTTGCCTAGGGGAAAACCAGTGCCACACTGCATGGCTTGCATGCTACAGTACACACCACATTTCATTAAATGCAATCTGAAAGGGCAGTGAGGTTTGCTGTGGTACTAGAATACATCCCTTCATGTACTGAAGATTTTTCACAAATGACAGGCAAGTTCTGATAACATGTATTTAATGTTTCAAAATTTAAAGGTTACCACACATGGAAACCATGACAGTGAATGTTTGCTTACAATTCTGAAACACACATTGATGATGCTACGTGGAATGACCGAGGTAGTTTCATGTTTTAGCTCAGAAATGTGATCTCTTATCAGCATACATGAAACACAGCACTTTACTGCTCTATCCCTGATACAACAGCCCATGAAAGCAAGAACACAAGCTATGGGAAGACAGAGGAAAAGATGTGGCGTGCACAATACACAATGTTTCTGGGGAATAGATGAAGGTGTATTGTTAAAACCTCTAAAGTGAACTTTTAAGAAGTTGATAAGCACAAAAACTGAGTACCTACATTCATTTCAACAGATTTGGATGGTTTGATTTAATCCTTACAACAAACTCATGAGATAGGCTTATGATTAGGTAAACTCATTTATAAAAAGTTTAAAGTGGAAGAGCTGCAGCAGTATCAGTACTGAAAGCACACTCTTAAGTATTTACTTAAAGTCTTCATGTTTCAGAGGAGGCTTATATAAGTACAAATGGCACAAAAAAAGTTCATGTATGACAATTTATAGTCAGATGAATTTTCATCTACATAAGAATGTACCATCTAGATTTTAAAGAGCCTCATAGAAGCCTTGGGATAACTTATTCTAGTTCTTACCCAGTCAGCATAAAAGCAACTGCTCTTCTGACAACTAACACACAGATTAGCTTTTGCCTAGTTTTTGAACATCAATAAATTAAATATGACAGCTGATACATTTTTGTGTCTGGTTTCACTTGACATGTTAGACATTGTCTTCACTGCTGCATGTAAAAACTATTTACTGCTGTGCATGTCGCACTAGTTTAATATACTACCCTTTAATTATGTATTCTACTGGAGATGGACACTTGAGTGGTTCCTAGTGTGGGCTATTAAGAACAATGCTTCCAGTATTACTGTTCACTCCATTTGCATATCATTCACATGTACAGGGTATATCCTTATCCACTGGAAACATAGGATCATGGACCATGAGTGTGATCATCATTATCACCTACCTTCAACCTTTACAAAGGATGAACCAGCCCACATCAGCTAGTGAAATTCTGCATGATAACAAAGCTATTGATTTTGGTGAGTGTACAACAACACTTGATCACAGTTCTTTTACAAAACCCATTAACATTGGATTCCTTTTCACACTGCTGCTTGATTGAAGAACTGTTTTACAGAATGTGCCTAACCTTAATAAGCCTTTCTCATTATTTCCTTGGCTGCCTGTCTTTTTCTGATCTGGAAGATTTGGATACAAGTGTTTGTAAAACATATCACAAGTATCTTCTCCAACATATGCCTTCTCTAAATCCCCAGAAACCAAGAGCTAAAATAAATTTTCCCTCCGTCAAGATGCATGTTAGGTATTGGGGGCACAACAACACAAAAGTAACTGATATAGAGAAGCAGTAACAAGAATGGAGTCACTTCTGTGACTACACTTGACCATGTTATTCTTAGGCTTTTGGAGCTTGTCTACAGAAAGAATGCAGAACTCTGAAGATCCGAGGAAAAGCACTTGGAGGGTGAAACCTCCTACTGAAAGTGCCAAGGCATAAAAGTGAAAGCTCTTTTCAAAGACTTTGCTTCATAAAAGAGCAGCAGAGGTACCTACTTAAACAGAATCCCCCAGTGAAGTATTTCCCTTGTAGTGTTGCACAAGCACTACTGCAACCAGGTGCAGAGGAGCTTAGTTGCTTCTCCATAGGGCAGAAGTTGGCACTGTCTTTGTGCTACTAGTTTTGCAGGTGAGTAGAATGCAAGATTTACAGAACTGGGGAAGTTTGCACCAGGATTTCTGAGAAAAGCCTGTGAGGTCAGGTACTGTGTAGTAAAGACATACTCAAGGTAGGGAGCCCCTAAGTCAATGTATGAAGACTACAGGGTGGCAGCATAAGCTGGATTGGAGAACCCAGGACGCTGGAGATGCCAGTAATGTGACACACTGGTCAAAGAAAGTTGTAGGCACCAAGCAGGGCTGGCCCAAGGGAGAAAGAACACATGACTGCGTACATCAAGGTCACAGTATGAAGACGCCCAAGGCAGCTGCAGTTCAGATGATGCCATGAGGGACATGGAGCTATAGGATTTGATGGTAGCCTACTCACTTGTGGTCTTTTCCTCCCATTCTCCCCTTTCGGAATGGGGTTTACACTGTGACACTGTATTCTGCAATTACATAATCTTTTTTTTCTTTGTTTAATTTTACCAAAGTACACTGCTGAAAGATTCTACTGAGAATCAAGGACACTGTATAAGAACTTTTTTTTTTTTTTTTTTGGTCTTTTTGAGACAGGGTCTCCCTGTATCCCCAGCTGTCCTAGAACTCACTATGTAGACCAGGCTGGCCTTGAACTCACAGAGATCCACCTGCCTCTGCCTCCTGAGTGCTGGGATTAAAGGTGTGCACCACCACGCCCAGCATGAGATACTGGGAACTCAAGTTGGGCTAGATGCATTTTGCATTAGATGGCCATTTGTGTGTCAGGGTGGATTGTTAACAGTTGCAATTTAAAATGTCCTCCATAGATTCATGTTTTCTCCTCTGGAGGGGCTATATTGCCTTCGGCATGTGGGGGCTGACTGGCAGATATAGGTCAAAATGGGTGGGCCTCTGAAGGGCAGACTCTGCTTCTTGTACTCCATCTCATGTGCCCATTGTCACGGATGGAAATATCCTGAAAGCTGAACCAGAATACATCTTTCTCCCTTAAGATAATTCTGTCAAGTATTTTGATCACGGCAATTACAGGCTACACACTGAAATTCTGATTCATGAAGTGAAAGGATACTGAGCACTGCTTTCAGAACCCAATACCTAGTTCATGGCACAGGATGGGAACACTTCTAAAACAAGATTGATTATGGGGTGAAAACTGCTAAAGGTTTAGTGGTATTTTTGAGGGTGTATCATTATATAATTTGCTTAAAATTTTTACATTTTCCAAAATAAAGCAGAAAAAGGGAAACTAAAGCATATCTTCAAAATCTTTTGTAAGACTCAGTAGCCTTATTAAACTTCCAGGGGAGTACTTGGCTATGCTGACCCATATTTCTTTCCCATCAAAAGAAAAAGGATGATAACAAGAACAGTTGTGTGAACTTGGGAGCTGTTACTGATGTAAATTTTCCTACTAATTTAGTAACACATAAATTCTAGGTGTTTTTTAAATTCACTTTTAATTTTGTAGCAAAGATTTCTTACCACTCTAATACAATGTTATAATTCTTAATGCTATTTTAATTAACCTGAAATAGTTTAAATTTACCATTGATGAGACACTGGGGCTAAACTGTTCAATTTTTTTTTCTGTGTCTCCTATTATTGTCACAATAATTTACACACTAATTAGCTTGTGTGCATATACTTATTGTGGCAGATACAATAATATTAAGATGCCAACACCAAAGCAGGGTTTACCCTATATTTATAAAATGCTTTATGCCTATGTATGTATAGAAGTAGTAAACTGGAAAGTGTGCTTTATGAAGAGTATCTATACTTACTAAAGGATAATCATAATTTCATTAAGAGGGATAGTGTTCACTGTATTGATAGACAGAAAATACACTTACCACTTGTCCATTGTGAGGGTTCTTATGAGCATATGGAGGTCCACGGATATGATTCCACATCTGGCCAGACGTCATAGCAAAGACTATACACTGAAAACCAGGGTACAATATTTCAATATTTAAGCCAGAGAATTCCAGAATAATTCATTTTAAAAGTAATGGTCACCATTAAACTACCATTTAAAAATCATGTAGTAGCTCCTTCAGAAAAAAAAGAAACATAAAAAAATTCAATTACTATGGGATCTTGGGCAAATTACTTATTTTAGCTGCATTTTATGAGGCCATGAAACTTGGTTACCAATTCTGAGAGATACGCTGGTGGCTAAATGAGACAGCACTATGTTACGCATCCTGCAAGTGACAAACTGATAGCACTTGCCAAATGGAAGCAGTCAAGAGCACAGATGAGACAAGATATAGTGATAAAAAGCATGATAAAAATTTGAATCTTCTAAATGACATTTCCACAGTAAGTTTGGATTACTGAATGTCTCTATTCTTAGGTTACCATGACTGTATGTACCTAACTGCTTTCAGTAAGGCACCTAGCAGTATGTCTAGAAGATCTGTGGAGATGGCGCACACCACAAAGGGACAGTCCCAGGAATTAACTCCTAGAGATTAGTTTCTATGCCTGTTGGATCTATAAGGGAAAATGTAATTGGAAAAGTAGTCTGGAAGATACAATGCATTAATTAGAGTGAGTAGCTTAATGAACTAGAAGTCATAATTCAGTCACTGTAACTTATGGATATGCAAGTTCCATTTGAACATTGTTTTTAGATCAATGAACCTGACACATCTAGACTGAAACAGTAACCAGAGCATTCTAGGTCCTGTAACTAGTCCAGTCACTCTTCACTTTGGTTGCCTGGAAGGTTCTGGTAACTATCTGTTTCAACTACGGTTAAAGAGAAGAATGAACAACAATCCAAATAATCTAGATTTGTACATTATTTAAAGAGAAGACACAACGAGGAAAAGCAGAAGGGGACAAGTTCTTGGAGGATATATCCACACACAGGATGAATGTGGATTATGTTCTGTGGCTGCTTCAGAGCCAGAGAGTCACCAGAAAGTGACAATGGCTAAACAGAATGCTCTTGTCACCTAGTTGAGAATAACTTTGAAATTAGTTTTTAAAGAAGCCACACTTGACTTCAGCAAACTTAACAGAGACTTCAAGTCAGGAATTTGTGAAATATTTGTATTTAAACTTAGAAGATATATTAGAATTTCAAGCCTACCATAAGCAGAGAGAATGCTTAGCAATTTTTAAAATACTATTTTAAATGTGGTTATGTGAAAAAAATAAATTCTAAATTTAATTTACATAATTATTTCAACGAATTTAGAGATTCTAGTGAGTTGATTATTTGTGCTAAAAGACATACTGTTTCAGGTAGAATATATCTGAAAAATTCCAGGAAGAGATATATGCAGTAAATTAGTACAATTATAGTAGAACACATGACCTTTTTTCCTTTAACAGATACCCAACAATACTAGTTTTATCTGTTTAGAGCGAAACTTTTGTGTTAATTAAAAGAGGAACTGAAAGTGCTACAATGTATTTCTTAGGATAAGTAAGGGGACATCCGCATTGCTAATGAGACTGAGTTACTAGAATAAGGGGAACACCCCTGATGACAAGGCCAGGGAGAACTGCTGGAGCACTGTTACAGAATAAGTGAGATGGTAAGATGCAGCACAGAGGATGACATGCCATTCTTAGGAGCAGAAACAATTCAACTACAACAGCATTCAAAGACAACAGGAGATTCATTTATGAACCCGAGGAGAACAAGGGAGTCTGTACACCTGCATCAGATAGAAACAGATACACAATCACTATCAACAGTATATTTAGGTGACAGATCATAATCATTTTTCTAGTATGTGTAATTTTCTCAGTGAGATAAATTTTCTTAAGGTTTCCACATTATTAAAGTTATAGTCAAACATCTGAAAATATTTTTTATACCTAGATCACTTCAAAATTATGAATGATACTGAGCCCATGATCAGGTCTTATGACGTGATATATCAATAAAGAAACAAATGTAAAATATGTTTTGCCAATACTTAAAGAGAAAATAATTCGCTTTAAAAATAAGTAGCAAAATTAAGCAACAATTTACTGTAGATCCTTAAATAATTATGATGGTATGTTACTGAAATTTATTTTTTTAATTTTAGTTTATTATTTATTCATGTGTTCAGGAATTGGTTTTTAAAAAAAGTGCAGGCTTATGGAAGGGATGAGTGCTCACTCATATGAGGCGGTGACAGACGTACTCACACAGGGAATTCTGCTACTCACAGAGCTGTGGCAATTTTCACAAGAGATAAGAAAGTCCTGAACTAACACAAATTTCTTAAATGCAAGGCATACAGGATTGGTTAAGGGTCATTTTCTTAAAGTGCGACAAATGTTTCTTCTTTGATTTTGACAAATGAAATGTCACCATTTTAGTACACTTTTTTAATTTGCAAATTTCAATTATTCCAACTAGTATAACTGGAATTAAGCCTTTATTTAAGTAATATCTTTATACAAAAAGGCATGCTTCACGGGGTCAGAGATCCATGACTTATAACAAAGTGAACACACTTCACAAATCAAATACAAATACAATGCTACTAGGAAGACAAGAGTCCTGTGTCTCATCCTAATGCCTACCCTCCAAAGACAAGGACATTTTCTTGAAAATGCTGCATTACATAATGGTGTAGGCTCTCCTTCAGTAGATACATTGAACCACTGCTCAGGGGGAGGATTTAAATTCACACAGCCCATAGCAGTGTCACTGATAGTGATCCTGGGTTTAACATGTGTACCTGTGTTTTCACTTTAGATATTCTGGTGGAAGCATCATAGTGTCAAATTGCAATTTTAGTTTTTTCAGTGCCTTGGTGAAAAATGAATTTGAATGCATTTTGAATGTTTAATGAAATTTGGACATCAACGAAATGTACCCAAGTCTTCTGCCTTCTTTTAATCTGATTATGTACCTTATTTTTAACTGTATTGTTGAATTTCTTTATATTTGTAAATCCAGGTTCTTTGTTAAATATATACACAGCAAATAATATTTAGTAAACTGGTTGGTAGCTTTCTTTTATTTTTCTTAATGGTATCTTTTATTAAAGAGAAGTTGTTAAGTTTAATGTAGCTCAAAGTTTCTTCTATCATGGTTATTTCATCTTTTGTTTACAATATAAACAAGATCAAAAGTCATTCTCACAATGGAATCCTTCTTTCAAAAGCATTAATAGTGGGGCTGCAGACAAAGCTCAGCAGTTAAGAACACTGGCTACTCTTAAAAGAGGAGACAGGTTTGGTACCCAGCACTCACATGGTACCTCTAACAACCTTCCAAGTGCTCTGATGACCTCCTCTGTCCTCTGCAAGGACTTCACACATGGATGCACTTACATGCTGGCAAAATACTCATATGCATAAAATACAAATAAATAAAGCGAACAATCACAGAGAAAGCTTCTATATAAATTAAAGTTACAACGTTTTGTTAAGATTAGGAAGGGAGAGAAAAGCCCCTTCTTACCTTATGTGAAAGCAGTAGCTATGAATGATTGTTCTAAAGAATTATAATTATGTATAACGCTGGGGCTGAAAATATGGCTCAGTGGTTAAGACCACTGGCTACTCTTGCAGAGGACCCAGGTTTGATCCCCAGCACCCACATGACAGCTAACAACCATCTGTAACTCTGGTTTCAGGGGATCGGATGCCCTCTTCTGATCTATGAGGACATTACATGACCCAGGTGTACCTACACACATGCAGGCAATACACTCAGACACACAGAATTATAAAAAAATTAAAAATTATGTACAAAAAAGTATGTATAATACCTAAGCACCATTCATGAATGTGAAAATTGTTTAAGAATTTATTCTAATCTTCAGCTTTTAAGCGTCTCATAAAGTTTAAGTACTTAAATTGATACAATGTCTTTGAGGCAGGAGAAACATTAGGGTGTGTGAAGTCTCCTCCTAAAACAGCTCCTCAGCCTTAAGGAGGCAGAAAACAGCTTCTACCCTACTGTGATTTACTGTGAGAAGAGGGCTGGGTTATTACATTTTTAATGATGTTTTATCTTCTATGTTTTAAACTGAAGATCCTTAGGATGTTTTCTATGTTTAAAATGAATGTTCCTACTCACCAGACTAATACTGTCTAGGTTAAAGTGACAGTAATTGATGAAGAGCTACAGATTACCAGAAGCTCTGCATTGTGGGCCACAAAATATACTACTTAACCCATTTCGATAGTTCAAGTAATACTGCTTTTTGGAAAACTATAATTTTTGTATTTACCCTACATTACCTGAAATTATATACTATAATTCAATACTTTATTTAACCATTCTACTTTAAAAATAAAATAAATCATGTCAGATTTCTATCCTCCAGAATCCCCCAAGTAAATACAGGAAGAAGGAAGTGCAATGAGAATTAATGACACATATGTTGTTCCATGGAACATTATCACCTTCTGTGAAAGGAAAGTACTTATGAGGTATTTTTCCTGCTCAAGCACAAGATATACTCACAGGTGACCCTATACCCTTTAAATTTCACTTACAACACAGGAGTCCTGAATTACGCATATTTTGATATCTGCATATTTCACTTCCACTTGGCTAGGAAGTTAAAATCTTTCTATTCTACACCTAAAGAACTATGAATAACTTCCTCCTCACTGTAATACATAATCTATTCTTATTCTATGACTTAGCTACCAACAAGAACAACAACAAAAAAAAATTACAAGGCTGGGGCTGGAGAGACTGCTCAGCGGTTAAGAGCACTGACTGCTCTTGCAGAGAACCGGGGCTCAATTCCCAGAACCGTCCAGTTCCAGGGGAATCCGAAGCCCTCTTCTGACCTCCACAGCACGGCACGACACTGGTGCACTCACTTACATGTGGGCAATACACTCATATATATCAAATAAAGGTAATAAATAAAAAATTATTTTTTTTTAAATTACAAGGCTTAGAACACAGTCTAAGGGTCCTAAGGTTTCTAACCCAGAGCTAAGGATCATGAAACTGGAA